GTTGGGGAAGAGGAGTTCTAGATAATAAAAAATTCCTCTGTTGGGGAAGAGGAGTTCTAGATAATAAAAAATTCCTCTGTTGGGGAAGAGGAGTTGTAGATAATTTGTGGAGCTACGCATTGAATACAACTGGCAAAACAATGTAAAAACAATAGATTTAGTATATACATTTTATGATTAGAATCAATTAAGCAAAAATTATTTTCACAGGAACTTTAAAAAATTTGATTATGTTAAAATAGTCTAAGGTACAAACACTAAAATTGTACAACCTAAATATAGTGCTAAATTACAATAATTATATGGTTCTGTTATCCATAAATAGCTAGTCCTGTGTGTCATCACGCAACAGATTTGGTTTATTGTTAARAATATAAAAATGCGCTCAAAGGTCTCTGTACTGTGATGTAAGCATGCTGGTTGCTGTAGAGCACAAAAGAAGCAAACTCTGAAACACAAGTCATAGCAGAATCTTTCTCTTGCTGTTCGAGCGCTCTACAGCTCCCAGAGTATTTATATCAGACATAAGCTGCCATCTCATATTGCTTTTGTAAAATATTTTAGGACAACATTGCGCAAATGTGTCTCTGTTCTCTAATAAAAACATGGTAGCCAGGCAATCAGAGCTATAAAAATATCTTATAAAACTATAATATAAATGGGCTAATTTTAAAAAAATGTCTTCGTCTCCGTTTTTACTGTTTAAGAAAATGTCAGAGCTGCATAATAGTACCAATGGGTATTCATTACCCCAGAGTCCATATTGCAGGAAAATGCAGCTATAGGGTCCTGTCTCATATGTATAATGCATGTGACAGTTGTCAATCAATGCCCCTTAATTACCAAGTGATTATTTGGGTATTGGGTTATAGGCATCACAAGACAGTTTGGTAGTGCTGAGGGTCTCATTTTATTAGGATTAGATTTAATTAGGATTAKATTTAGGATATTATAGAATTATTAGGATAACTGAATTTTGTAATTAGTCCTTATTTCTTCTTCTTTTTCTTGATTGTAAATTAGTAATTAAAACCCCTGTTGGGGCATACTAATAAACTTATAGTATTGTGCTATTGTCTTCGGCAACCCTAAAGTAGATACAATATATTGTTTCCTGAAAGATTAACAAGCACATCAAGCAGCATGTAATGCAGTTCTTGGCAATTACTACATGTACTTAATGACGTTCATGCACRTTGTTCGTGCGCATCCTTTCTACGCATGAATTTAGTGAGCACGCGCTCTTTGTGATGACGTCATTCCAATGTTTTGATAAGCAAAATTTTATAAAAACATCTTTAATCTCTTATAGGTCTAAAACAAAGTCGGGCACCCCCCTTTTTTATTCCGGTTTTTGAAAGTACTTTATGATACCTAACTTTAGAGAAAAAAAATTAAAAAGCTGACGATGGGATCAAATCGAAATTACATATTTGTGTATAAATGGAATAAGTTTCAAGTCCACACTTATAGCACAATAACAGTTTATTGTGCTAATTTTGAACACAAATTTCAAATGCTAACTAGTTATTTGGTGGTTATTTTCTAGTCTTCTGTGAGAAATGGGGACAACAAATTTATTTTTTCAATAAAATATGACTTATTTTTGACAGYTTTTCMTKTTTACCTTGTTTGCTTGTTTTTACCATAAAAAGGGTGAACTTCCACATATTCTGATGGCTAAACGAAGTCAGGGATCCTCATTTTTATTTTACTTCTAGTATAATGTTACAATAGAATTAGGGTCTACTAAAGTGTATTAATCAAATATCTATTTCACGGGTTAAACAACTTCACTCTAGGATCTTTTGCCCATGAACGCCCTATTATCAATACCAACAATCTTTAGTTAACATTTGTACAGTATTTCATTGCAACACCTATTACTATTAATAGAAATAATTTATCTCTATGTTTGTAGTTGCAATAATTATATTAAACTTGAGCATCATTATCATTTCATTCGTTAGAAAGAAGGGCAAAAGGATTATTGGAAACAACTGCATCTGATTTAGTTTCATTTTCATTATCATCTTCCTCATCTTCACTTTGTGATTGTAGCAAATTATCCTCTTCTTGTTTTTTGCTTTGAGAGTATTTCTCTTGCAGCTCAGATATAGCTTTGGTTTCAGGATGTTGTAACCATTTATCTATAGATAAAAACAAAGGGAACTTTATAATTATTTAGGGAATTATTTTCTTGGGGGAAATAAATTAGAGCGGGTTAGTGTTGAGAAAGATCTTGGCGTATTAGTTAGTGATGACTTGAGTTGGAATAATCACGTAGATCATATTACCTCTAAAGCTCAACGTATGTTGAATCTACTTCATAGAACAAGTAGAGATATTGATGATATTAATACTAAGAAGTTACTTTATATGACTTGGGTGCGGTCACGACTAGAATACGCTAGTGTGGTATGGTCATCATTTACTAAGAGAAATGTGGTTAAGTAAGAACAAATACAAGGCAGGGCCACTAGATTGATATAAGGCAAG